TTCATCAAAATGTGAGAAGCCTACGACAGAATTTTAATTCATTATGTTTGAACCTGGAAGCCTTTGCTCATCCTCCAGATATTGTGTTTGTAACGGAAATATGGATCTATTCTTATGAAGTTAATGATTACCATATTCCCGGTTACAATTTCTTCGCGAATACTAATGATTCATACTCGGCTGGTGGTGTCGGAGTTTTCGTACGCAATATATATGAGTACGATGTTACACGTTTTTGCCTAGCAAGTGTGGATATTTTAAAACTTAATTTGAATACTAAAAAGGAACTAATTAGTTTTGTATGTGTTTATAGGCTTCACTCAAAATCGTTACAGGTATTTCAAGAAGAATTTTCTTCTGTTTTAGATAGGGAAACCACAGCGAATCTAGTCATATTAGGAGATTTCAATATTGATTTATTAAGCGCTAACGCTACAGTAGATAACTATCTTGAACTGTTGGCAAGTCATGGCTTGACATCTTTTATTAAAAGTATTACCCGGCCAGTTTCTGGAACAAATATAGACCATATTTATGGACGCTTCGATAGTAGTACACTTAGCCCATCTGCGGGTTTGAACTTTGATCTTGGAATTTCTGACCATTGTATGATTGGACTGAAAATTAGTTGTTTAAATAATGTTCGCAATTTCAATAATAACAGTCCACCAGTCATACAGAAAATAAATTTTAGCGCTCTTTATAATTCACTTCGTTTAGAAAAATGGGAAAGTGTTTATGCTGAAAAGGACGTGAGTAAAGCCTACAATTTATTTTTGTCTACGCTTCAAGCACACATAACAGAATCTAGCTTTGTTACTTTTCTCAAAAACTCGAAAACTATTCTCAAGCCCTGGGTCAATTGTGATCTACTTAAGAAAATTAAACTTAAAAATAAATTACGCGTGAAATGTCGCAACCACCCAACAAACACTCGCCTACGGAAGCGTGTGAAACTCCTCACATACAATATTAATAAAGAATGTCGTTTCAGGCATGATCATTTTTATAAGAATAGATTTTTAGCTGCGAAGGGTGACGTGAAGAAAGAATGGAATGTGGTCAACGACATTCTAAATCGTAATAAGAAAGCCGAAACTAATCCGTTTGTTTTAGATATCGACGGCGAACTTGTTTCTCACCCTTTAGACGTTGCCAATCATCTCAATGATTTTTTCGTTACAATTGGAAAAGAGTCCGCTCCAAAGAATAATAATATGCGCTGTACTTGCAACAACCACTTACTTTACTCTGTAAATACTTCTCCCGGCTGTAGTTTCTTCTTTGAACCAATTTCTGGGTCAGAGATTTTAAGTTTAATAAATTCTTTAAAAAATGCTGATTCTTCTGGAATGATGGTATCTCAAACCGTACTTTAAAGAACATTGCTTTATATGTTGTTGATATTTTAAAGCATTTATTCAATTTTAGTATAGTCACAGGAGTGTTTCCAGCCGACTTAAAATGTGCTATTGTCATACCACTACATAAGAAAGGGAATAAGAAAGATAAAAATAACTACAGACCTATTTCTCTCTTGCCATCAATCTCTAAGGTTTTTGAGAAGACTGTTAAATGCAGAGTCTTGCAATATTTGGATAAAATAAAGTTTTTCAGTCCATTGCAATATGGATTCCGGTCAGGAGTATCTACTGAAGATGCTCTTCTTAACTTTTGCTCGTTTATTTATAAAGCAATGGATGAAAAAGGGACTTGTGCTAGTCTTTTTGTTGATATAACAAAAGCTTTTGACATGGTCGACCATAATATTCTTTTATGTAAATTGCACTCAGCAGGTTTCCGTGGAAAAGTTCTAGATTGGTTTGAGTCATATCTAAATTTAAGAAGTCAAAGCGCACCTAGACAAATTGATTTGGGAGTCCCGCAGCGGTCAGTCCTTGGACCAATTTTATTTCTGATTTATATTAACTCGCTTTTTTCAATGCCTTTTGTAGGAAAAGTCACAGCATTTGCAGATGACTTGGCAATCGCTTATAGATCAAACAATGCTTTCAATCTTTTTGTGGACATAAATCACGATGTGCACCTCCTAAGAGAATGGTTTGCTTCTCATAAACTTATTGTAAGCAATAAAACTAAACTAATGTATTTTAGTCTTAGTGGCAAGGAAGTAACTAGTGGTGATATTATTTTTCACTCTGCAAGCTGCTTGCGACATAAACTATGTACTAATACTTGTATTGAAAACGAGTCTCGTGTTATTTATTTTCCGGATTCAAACTGTGACGCAACATGTTTCAACGTCGAAGTTGTTTATAATTTTAGATATCTGGGTGTTATAGTCGATCACAACCTAAGCTGGTCTTCGCATATCTCTGCCATGAAAGTTTACATGCTAGCAACCGTTCGCTCATTTTATCGCCTTCAGAAACTATGTGCAAGCAGTGTGCTAAAAATGATGTACTATGGACTAATACAGTCTAAACTTCAATATGGAATAAGTTGCTGGGGCAGTGCATATTCTAGTAGAATTCAACCACTCTTAACTTTGCAGAAGTGTCTTATACGTAGGATTTGTAATGCTAGCCGTTTAACGCACTCGATGAATCTCTTTAGGAGACTAAATATTCTCCCTGTAAGACACTTGTACTACTTTAAAGTTTTAAAATTTTTTTTTATGAGAAGTGGTTACTTACGAAGTCCTATATACACTTCACTCATATTAAGAAGCAATTCTAATACAAACGTCACTGTTCCTGCCTCACGCACAACTCTGTATCGAAACTTCTATACCATAGTATCGTGTATGATTTTCAATAAACTTCCCGATGATATACAAACAATTCGTAGAATAAGCGTTTTTCTGAAGCAGGTGAAATTATGGTTTCTTGGTTTAAGCCATGACGATATTCAAGTTCTGTTACGGCCTATCACATAACCGGCGTCCGACTTAATAACATAATAACATTGCAACATATTTTCTTACTACTTTTTATTTTGATTTAACAAGTTCACTTGTAAGTTGCTTGCTATGTAATGAACCGATGTACTTTATTTCTATTAATTTTTAAAAAAACTTTTATATTAATAATTTATTTATCATCAATGTTAAACCTTTATAACTCCGGTAAATGATATTTTTTTGCGCCCCACATTTCTACATTTCTACATCTCTATACTTCGATTGTAATTATAACAGTAAATGGTGTTATCACTGTTCTCATTTTGAACACTCAACGCCATTAGCTATTATCTTATTGTATCTATTTTACTGTATGTTCACTAATGTACAAACTAATGTTTAATTTCTTTAAATTTCATAAGATAATAATGAATAAAAATGAATGAATGAATCACCACACGATTGATTTGGTTTCTCGTTTTTCGATCTGAAGACAACCATCAAGCTTGGTAGATATTTTTTTCTGCTGGAACCTAGTACTACATAATACCATATTTCGGGCCCCGGCGAAGTCGATAAGCCTGAGTTCGTTAGCGGACGTTTCGTCGTGGAGACGGAATTTTCCGACAGTGGCGCCAAAGATCAATTCCTTGCCTGCCTACCTTTGCATTGAAATCATCAAGCACGATTTTGATATCGCGTCGGGGGCAGCCCTTATATGTACGCTCTGAGCGCTCATAGAAGAGATCCTTGGACGCCTCGCCTTTCCCCTTCGTCGGGGCATGGGCGCAAATGATCGAGATGTTGAAGAATCTTGCTTTGATGCGGATTGAGGCGAGATGCTCGTCCACAGGGGTGAATGACAGTACACAAATCCAACATCGAATTCGCGCTCTTTTACATGACAGCTGTAGTAAATGTCGCAATACACCAGGCATTTCTTATCTTGCGTCGCCCAACGCATTTCTTTAATGGCGGTGATATCAGCTATTGTCCTTATGAGCACATCAACCAGCCGGGCAGAGGCACCTTCCACATTAAAGGTCCGGCTATTTGTGGTGCATGTACTCAAGTCATATACGTTTACTGTGGTCGTCGTTAAAAGAAGAGGGTCTCATCCGAGGCTTTTTTCTTTTTCATTGGGCTTTAACGTGGCGGGACTCAAACCCAGCGCACGTGAGGTCTTATGCCTTCTCATGCCCATCGGTTGTTTCGTCGCTAAGGAGATATAAATATCTGGACGTCGTAAGCTGCGATTTGAACCGGACGCAAAAGAATCACTTCTGGCCACTTCTACGCGAATGGCAGTCAAAAGCTTTTCCCACTTACGTAGGCTTCTGGTCACTATGAAAGCCATACTGGCATGCCAGTATTGGCGTGAAAAGTAGATCGGTATCCCAATTACTGGCATGAACTTTTTACTGGAATGAGGTCATTGAGCGCTTGTTTATATTATGCAAGTAACAGGACACGCTCACTGAACTGGCTTGCTACTGGCAAAAATGTCTATTTACAATGGAGCGGTATGCGAGGCGATGTTCGAAAACGAGAACGCAGCAGTTTCTAAAAATATTTCTACTTCATGTGGTTCAAAGTGTTAGTTAAAAATAACGTGATACTTGCCTCTCACTCGCGTTCACATCGCTTTCACTCTCGAATTATTGAAAAAACCTCGCATTGCCAACGCGTGACAGGTAACAGCTGCCTTAAGCAAACTTTCCAAAAGTTGATTTTCAATCTATTTTTGTGAAAAATATAATATTTTTTAAAGCTAACAATATTTGACAACTTAGAGACCGACTAATTAAAAAAAATCAGTTGCTCTACTGCTAATCTACCTGTTCAATATGCCTTGGGTTCATCTGAGCGTAAACCAAAGAATAATAAAATAAACACGCTAGGAAAAAAAATTAATCGGGCTCTTCGAATTTATGAAAATGATACATATGCGAGTATAATTTAAATTTTAGTTGAATAAGATATTAAATAAATGAAGGCGGTCTTTTTCGTAAAAAAAAGGCACTTTTTCCGGCGAAGTCAGGGAGGGAATTAAAATTAGGTGGCGACTCTGGTATTAATATGTATCTACAAATGCGTGTACATCATATGAATTTTATAGAATGTAAATAAAATTTACCTCATGAAACGATAAGCGACCAATCCCAAGAAGTGTGCAGTACCAGCCGCCAGTTCACTGCTGCCTTTTGTGAGTTTATTCAGTTTTCCTTTGGCATTCGTGCGAAAATACAAATATGAAACCAAAAAGCCGCTGATAAAGAAAAATGTGTCCACACTGAATGGTCCGTTTGTGACAGCTTGGAAGAAGAAGTTTTTCTCCACTTCTTTACGCATCTCCATATTATCTGAGTATTTGAAAACCACTATGCAGGTATGTCCGAGTATAACCCACGCCATTGAAAAAGCGCGAAGTCCGTGTACGCAGGGAATAGTGTCCGCGCCGACATTCCTATCACAAATGGCATTGAAGTTGGTAATGGCCGAGAAGGAAAGCAATAATTCGGAGTAAACGCTAAGTTTTTCGGGCTCGTGAAGATGAACTTCCAGATGTTCATCGGAAGTGTTGTTACTGCTACTTGGACCGCCGTTTACTTCACGCGGTATATTCAGTACGATATTCAACTCGTTCAGCGATTCCTTTATTGACTCTTTCTTGAGCGACTCATGAGCCATAGAATCTCCGTAATCGGATGAAGCACAACCTATGCCTGATGAAGTCTCACTATTATTCATCATCTCCTTATCTTGAAGGCGAAGTGCCGCCTTCAAGCGACTCGTCAAGTAAATTTCGTATAAAGTGCCGGCAATTATTAGAGTAAGGACCAAAAATGAAACAACGCTAAGAAAAAAAACAGAAAAAGCGATTGGTGAGTAATCAAGTCATATGTAAATATGCAGACATAATTGTTTTATTATTTATATATGTACATTAGACTGTCCCACTGACTGTTTTGTCTTAAAACCTATCCAACAAAAATTTCATGCAATTCGGACCACGGCGTGCCGATTTGCAGTCAAAGTTATGAGAATAATATTTGTCCAGTTCGCGTGTTTTGTTAACTTACTCATTTTACTTCTATATAAGGGGATATTACTATACTCACCACAGTATACGGGCATAATATTTAATAAATCTTCGTTTTTAGTTTTTTGTCAGGATTTTTTTCAAAGGACCATAAATGATAATATATTTCCAAAAGTTTACACAAAATATGGATATATGGGTTAGGGCGGGTCGAAAACCAAATTTTTCTCAAATCCCTTGGTAATAGTGAAAGTATATTGTACACTGAAAATAAAATCTGCGTAAATATAACGAAAACTTGCGTAAATCTTACGAAATTTTTCGTCATTTTGAGCCACGAAAGTTTTCGTTGATTGTACAAAACCGTTTTCGTACATACTACGAAAATATGAGGCATCAGATCTTTATTTACGAATGTATGGTACAACGCTCAATAAAAATATTAAAAATAAAATGTTAATAAGCCACAATAACATTGACAAATACATAGTTTAGGAAGAGCCTGCCTGAAACTATACGAAAGCAAATAAGCAAAAGGATGTATAGAATTGACAACAACAACCACGCTGTCGAGTTTAAATAGCGGCAAATCAGCTGCACTTGATAATAGTTCGTTGAATAAGGAAAATGAATTAGCAACAAGAGTTTACGGGGTGTACATAGCCCAGTGGTTAACGCTTCTGACTTTGAACATCGATTACGCAGGTTCGAACCCTGCTGAAGTCTAGAAAAAAAAATAAGTCTGATGAGGAGATGTGGTGATCTCCTAAATAGCTGCTATAACTTCTACCGCTTAGACTTTGTTGCTTTTTAAATTTTTCCTAATAAACAATCGTGGTACAAAGCTCAATAAAAATATTTAAAAAAAAATGTTAATAAGCCACAATAACATTGACAAATACATAGTTTAGGAAGAGCCTGCCCGAAGCTATACGAAAGCAAATAGGCAAATGGATGTATAGAATTGACTACAACAACCACGCTGTCGAG